GTTTGGTATAGGCTGTATTAAGTATAAAGTGTCCATTAGACATACAAAAAAATGATAGGTAGGAGGTTAGATATATGAGTCTCAAGTTCCAGAGACATATTCAAGCTGGAGATAGACTTTTGAGAGTCCTTGAACTATAAATTGCATCTGAAATCACGAAATTTGGTCAGGTAATCCAGGGAGAATGTGTAACCTAGTAAATATAGGAGGCTAAGGGAAGATCTTCAGAGCATGTCTAGATTTAGGGGGACTAGAGTGGAGAGGGGGCTAGAAGGAAGGCTGAGGAGGGGTCAGGGAAGAAGAAGGGGCAAGTGCAGGATGCCAAAAGTCCCGATAAGAAAGCATTACAAGAAATGATCATCTGTGTTAAGTGCTGGAAACAATCAAGTGAGAGCATGACTAGAACACTGACACACAGACTTGGCCCCAAGGAAGATACTGGGTAATCTCAAGGGAGTGGTAGAAAAGCAAGTCTTACTCTAGTGGGCTGAAGAAAGAATCTGCGATGAGAAGGTAGAGATACTTATTACAGATAACTTCTCCCAAAGTTTTCGTGTGACAGGGATCAGGCAATGATTAGTAGCAGGATGAATGCAGGTCCCAAGGTGTTCGTGTTTTGTCCTCTTTTGTTTTAGGGGAGGATATAATAGAGCATTTTTAGTTGCTGCTGGTAATGATTCAGTAGAAATGGGAACAATAATCCCAGAACCATTTACTGAGAAGTCTCTTCTTTCCCAACTGATCTTCCTATCTCTACTAGCTCTGTTACTAAATTACTTTTGATATATGTGAGGATCTGCATTATTCTGTCCTATTGGTCAGTTTGTCTGTCCTTACATGAGTAATAGGCTATATTAACTATTACATGAATTATATTAATTATTACAGCCTCATAAGTCTTATTTCATTCTCCTTCATCAGAAATGCCCTATCTATTCTTCGCTCTTTGTACTTCCCTATAAAGTTAGAACCTCCTTACAACACCTCCCTCCAAAATATCCTGTTAGGATATTTATTGGCACTGCATTGAATCCATAGATCAATCTCCTTCTTACAATATGAAACCTTTTATAATATTAATGGAAACTTTATAGGATTAAGACTTCCAATCCATAAACATGTTACATCTCTCCATGAATATAGGATTTTAAATGTCTTTCCACAAATAATTTTCATTCATATATTTTTATATATGCACATATACAAATTTTAATTGTATATATGCTATTTTATATTTTATGTGTAGTATATATATATATCTTGTATATTTTGATGCTTTTTAAAATAGCATTTAAAATATGTTTTTGAACTGTTTACTGCTAGGGTATGAAAATGTATATAGATTTTGTATACATCAATCTTGTTAAACTCTTATCTGTAAAATATTTGAGGAGTTTCTAGGCACACATATTGTCTATAAATATTGGCAGTTGTATATCTTCTTTTCTAATCCTAAACAATTTCTTTCTTTTATCTTAATGTTTGCTGACAAGGACCCACTAATAAGATGGTGAATTGAAGTAATGACAGCATATATTCTTAACTAAGTCCAGGTATTAAGAAGAAGCTTTCAATGTGCCATTATTAACGTTGATGACTGCTACAGTTTTCTGTTTCACAAAAAAAAAAAAAAAAAGATTTTATATATTTATTTGACAGAGAGAAAGAGAGAGAGAGAGCAGAAGCAGGGGAAGCTACAGGCAGAGGGAGAGGAAGAAGCAGGCTTCCCGCTGAACAGGTAGCTAGATGTGGGGCTTGATCCCAGGACTGTGGGATCATGATCTAAGCAGAAGGCAGATGCTTAACTGAGCCACCTAGGTGCACCTGCTAGAGGTTTTTAATAGATACTCTTTATAATTCAGTTTGCCAAGAATTGCTTTGGTTTTTTTTTTTTTTTCAATATCATGAACAGAAGTTAAATTTTATTCACATCTTTTGTATCTATAGAAATAAACAGATTTTTTTCTCCTGTAACCTGTTATACTACTAATAGTTAATTCTTAAATCTAAGTGAAACATAGCCAGTACTATATTTACACAGCCATTGCATTTCCTTCCTGAGCACACCAGGAGCTTTCATTTCCCTGTCACTCTCGTATCTAGGTGAGATGATGTGACTGAGTTCTTACCTGTAGTAAATGGGCAAAAGTGAGATACTTCCAAACTTGGTTCTAAAACATGCTTCCTCTGTCTCTTCCCATTTGTATGGTTGAAAAAAGATGTCCTTAAGCTACAAAGCTACAAATGATAAGCGCGTAATTCTAGACAAAGCTGTGAGTGGTGTGCGTGTGCCTACACATGTGTGTATGCATGTATATATAAACGTGTGTGTGTATGTGTGTGTGTGTAAATCATTCTCCAGGGATAATCTTTCTACAAGTGCTTAGAGAACACCACCATCTTACAAGAGCTCTGAAACCCTTGGGAAACTATATACTATACTATCAGAATGGGTACTACTTGAATTTTTCTAATGATGACAATTCATTACTAAGAAAGGAAGCAGAGTAGTGTCACTGAAAGGATCTGAGCCCCTAGTATGCTATGGTCTCTGAAGCCCTCAAGAGCAGAGTTTTATTTACTTCTCTATCCCCAGTAGTTAAGGAGGTACTGGGCATATTAAAGGTACTGACAAAAGTTGAATGAAGCCACCTAATTTTTTTGGTAAGTTTCATCACTTATAAAATAGGGATAATTATAATATAGTACATACTCAAACTAACATAGAGGATGATTTGGAGATTAAAATAAATAAGGGATATAGAATTGGTAGACTGCTAAACATTATTAAAAATACAATATTTTTCCTTTTATTCTCCCAAGATAACTCATGCTGTCTAATGATTATAGATTTTGAAGGATAAAATTTGGGTGTGTTAGATGAGTTGAGCTCCCTGTTATCAGAAGAATTCAAATATGACTTGAGACTTCACTTAGTGAGGTTGTTAGAAAGAGGATTCCAGTAGTGGGTGCCCTTTGACCTCCCAAGGTTTAGTCTCTTTTCCAACATAAAGGCACCGTGATGTTAGGGTCAGGGTCGGGAAGGGAAGAGGAGGAAAATATGCATTCATTAGGATTATCTTAAGTAGAGAAAGACAGTAAAGTGAGAGCATAGGCTAGAGATTCTGATGAACTGGTTTTTATTTTATTTATTTATTTATTTTTTAATGAGCTGGTTTTAAACTCTAACTTCTTCATCCTAGATATATGACTTTGAGAAAACTATTATGAATATTTTTATCTGTTTCCTCATTAGTAAAATGGAACTAAAAAAAAGAGCCTTCCATAGAAGGTTGTTTAGAATTTTAAACAAAATAATACATGTTCAATGTTTAGCATAATACCTTATATATGGTTAGGGGTAAATAATTGCCATAATTAGGATCATTTTTTTTTATCTAAGTCTAGTTTGGTAATTCTTTGGTACAGGATAGAGTTTTAGCACTCAGTAAATGTTATCTATTATTATTATTATTATTGGTATTTACAACCTAATAGAATACTATGTGTTGAAAAGTAATCACACACACACACAAGATTACTCAAAATAACATACGTTGAAGAATAAACGAGGTTTGAGCTAGATAGATATATGCGTTTTCGTGTTCATTTTGCAAAGAGATTTTCTTTGGCAAATTAGGAAATGAAAACCAGCAAGACTCTGACCTAGAACTTGGCAGAATTCTAAACAATTTCCTCAGCTCACTCAGACCATTATGCCCCCTATTAACAACAAGCAGATGGGAGATTGGGGTGGGGTGGGGGAAGCCTGTTACTTCCTTTCCACTCTAAAAAAGAAATATAAAATTAAGCTATTTATGACATAAATCAGATGTTCTTTGAACATTCAGAATTCAGGGTGGAATAGTCATTCTGGTCTCCTTTTCATTCCAGGTTGAGATAATTAACCTTCATTTTTTTGTACCAGAGACATCAGTGAGCTTATTTTTGGGTGGGACAATAAACAGTCCAACACTCTAATGTCAATTAGGTTTTCCTTTTTTTTTTTTCCCAAGAAAATATAGCTTATGTGCTGCATATGTGTCCAAAGGGCAGAAACTATTTTCAACCATTACTATTTTTAATGAAAAATAAAAACCTATAGGGTATCACTGTTGTTCATCCAGTTCTTGCTGGGGAAACCTAAAATCTAAATTTAAAGTCTAGTTGAATTCTATGATTATTATAACTAAGTATCAATTAAGAATCTTAATGGAAATCTTCTTCTAGACTTAGTAAAAATAAAAGGTAACTGGGTAACAGTTATCTTTTAGATTGTCAAAGTAGAATACTAATTCAGAAAGCACAAGGAATCACTCCAAAATTCTTTGATAAGAATAATAAAAAAGCACAAACATCAACTATATTTTTTCATTTTATTTACCCATGAGCACTGGTAAAAAAAATATTTCCTGGCAAAGATGTCTAGCAGTGGTATTAGGAAACAAAACCGAATTTAAAAAATATAAACAAAAGGAGGTACTCATACAATATATCTCAAAAATATACCTTTTTGAACAACCCATGTTTCATTGAAATATGTTTCTTGTCTAGTAGAAATCTGTTTTCACTCAATTTTTAAAATAAATTAATGATTTTTGGTCATAGAAAAATATTGAATTAAAAGTGGACTCTATATTAAAGTTCTTCATTATGACAGGTAAATTTTAGTAAGCAAGATGGAATTCATGTTAGTATTTTTTAAGTAGAAATTTTCACAGTATATTCAGTCATTTCTATTTAATAATCAAGAAAAATATGTTTTACTAAATTATCTTTAAAATGAACCCACCTCAACAGATATGATATTTAACAGATTTGGAGTTGAACAAGGAAAGACTTTTTCATTATTAGTATTATTATTATTATTATCATCAGAAAAGACTTTTTCTAATGGAATTTTGAGAGGTAATTTGTCCCCACAACTGATTTTACATCTACATATCACACAATCTTAGAGCTGGAAAGTATTTTAAAGTTACCCAGCTTCTACAAAATACCTGGATTCTGTTTTCATTCATCTTCTGTTGAACGTTCCAGTGAAAAGGCACTTACTACCCTTAGAGAAAGTTCATTCCATAATGGTAGCCTCTGGTCCTTTCCAAGTTCCACTTCATACCCAGCTGAAACCTGTCTTGGGAATTTCTGCCCCATTCCCACCCTCCTTCAAATCACTGCCTGACAATGCCCTCTGGCTCTCAACGTCTCTGAACATAGTTACCACGCCCACGTTAAGTCTCTCCTTCCTATTCATATTTTGGTCATCTATGTGGAAACATAATGTCCAAACACCTCATCATCCAGACAGTCTGCTCTGAGACAAACAAGCATGTTTGTCACTCTGTTAAAGCACAGTGCCCCCAAACGCAAAACCTCACAAGAAATGCCACAGAGTAGAAGTTAAGAGCATGAGTTCTGGAGTCAGACCAACTTTGCTTACATATAAGCTTTGTTTCCTTTTAGTTCAATTTGGGTAACTTTATAAACTGCTCTGTGCCTCAATCTCTCCGTCTATAAGACAGAGATCATTCTAGCAATCAACTCATAGAACTGTTGACAGCCTGACACAATGCCTGCACATGGAAAGTACACAAAAAACACTGATTTTTAGAAATGCTGCACTATTTGCATCTATATCTGGGCAACATAATTCAACCAAAAGAGCTCTAAAATTTTGCTAACAGGTGTTCTGATTTACATTGTTTTTGTTCCTAGTGAGTATGTGACGGTCCATTTGGCAAAAGTTACTTTTAATTATTGCCCAAACTGTCCTATTACTGCCTTATTTTCTCGTCTTTTTCAAATGGTCTCTATTCCATAGGTATCTTAAAAAAGATTTCTTCTCACAGCCACCAAAAGATGTTAACTTATAAATAAGAGGTTTGAAATTAACAATCTAACACATTCTCATACACATTTTTAAAAATCTGAACTTGAAGATGTGGTTTTTATTGACTCAAAGTTGGAGGCTGCAAAGGTGGAAAGAAGATATATTTCAGAGCAATGCTAGAAATGAGTATGCAAATGTATATAGTGGATCTACTCATAATTACCTCCAAACTAGATATAACCCAAATGTCCCTCAGCAGCGGAACGGGTAAACAAGGGACAGTGCCTCCATACATTGAGTACTACTCAGCCATGAAAAGGAAGGAGCTGCAGAAAACACGGAACAGCAAGGGTGAATTTCAAATTATGTGTAGTGAAAGAAGCCAGGCTCAAAGGCCACAAGCTGTAGACTGCCTTTATACCGTACTTGGAAAAGAAAAGCTACAGGGAGAAAACCATTATTATTTGTTACCAGGGGCTGATCGTGAGAAAAGAGACGAAGAAAGGACACGGGAATTTTTCCAAGGGGTTATGTAAGTATTCTATACCTTGTTGCAGTGGTAATTATGTAACTATATGTAAATTATATGTCAGTACACCTGACATTTAGTAAATGCAGTGTCATTGATTCTCTACAGGCTGGAGGATTTCCCACTGCTGCCATCTCAGCCCAAACTTTGCTTCATCCACACCCCCATGTTCTGGCCCATCCGCGATCTCACCCCGCCCACCCGAACTCCTGGTCTTGGAGTATCTCTCTATGCATCACTCCAGTCAGAATGATCTACCCTTGCACCATGAAGTAATTTCGCAAATTTCTCCTAACACGAATGCCCAATTCCTGTTGTACTTTTTCTCATCTGAGTAAAAGGCTCTGAGGCAGGAGTTACGTGTGTTATGCATTTTTGCAAGCTTCTCCACAATATTTACCATACTCCATGCAGAGAAAACAGTAGTATCTTTCAGACAGTGGGTACTCATAGTATTTGTGGACTGAGTAAATTATTGAATAAATGAGTTGAAAAAATGAATGTTTCTTATAGAACTCCAGCTCTTGGTGACCAGGTAATGTTCATCTTAATTACTCTACTTTCACTAGCTTGAAAGGATCTGTTTTTAACATAAATGAAAGATAAAAATCTCCTTTCCAGCCCAATTTTTGCCAACAATGACTCAACTGTCTCATGCATAATCTTGGTTGGACCTTTAGTTCGTTTTACTCATTTTTCTCTTTCATCCCATCAATATACAGGTTTCTTTTCTGTCCTTTCCTGCATGTGACCTTTCCTTTCATGTGGGTCTCTGTGATGGTCTCCGGCAGCTTTTGATGTACACCTTTGTCCATCCACAACCAACCTTACACAGAGCCAACAAAGGTCTTCTCCCTCACTGTTCTGAACATATCTTATATTTTTCAGACCCAAATAATGACCTCCAGGGATCCCTTGTAAGAAGTTAAAGTTTTGCTTCTGCTTACCCACAGGTTAATTATCCAGGTTAATAAAACTGGGTGGGTGTGCCATGAAGATACTAGAACTTCAACACACACATAAAAAACATCACAGTAAGCCTCATCTACATTTTCACGGTAACGACATCCAAGGTTCAATGTTCAAAGCTGAGTAAAAATGATGCTATAAATTAAACATGAATTTAATCTTAACAAATCTAGTCATGTATTCTGAAAACAATCTCAATTATAGAATATCAAAATTCATAAACCCCCAAGGCAAAACAAAATGTAAACACATCTTTCTGTTTTTTTGCATTATACCGAATAACTCAATGATTTGTTTAAGAAAAAAATGATCAAACTGAAAGGAACAGTATAGTTATTTTCACTGCCTTAAATATATATTTTTCCTATATTAATTTAAAATCTATAAAAACACTAACATGGTATTGGAAGTTGAAGTATTTCAGTTAAAAATCCATTTAAGAAATATACATCATTAAAATGGATATTAATAAATTATTAATTATCTGCAAGGTTGACCTGTATTTGTTATGATGCTAGGAAGTAACCTGAAGTAATCATTTGAATGTACATATTATTCTAATTTTAAGAAAGCTGCATCTGTGTAAATAAAATGTACATCTGTTTCTCTTAGCCAAAAAAAAGGGCCAATTTTTTTTTAAGTCTAGTTTCACTTCTCTCTTTCACTGTGCCTTTTTACCAAACCATGAGAGTACACTTCCCTTTTTAAGTTCCTCCTCTTCCCTCATCTTATTGATATACACTTACATAACAGTCATACAGAGAGAAGCTTTATTCCATATGGATGTGCATATTTCATGCACATATATGTTATAACCAGAGAAAAAGAAAAAGAGAGACATACATATTCAAAGGCTGACTAGAGTGGACTACAGATGCTATAACCTTTCAAAAAAAGAAATATTTACCATGGGGCTTATGGACTTTTGAACAACCTTCTCTAGACTGAGGAACTGGATCCAAATCTCTGGTTATTTTGTCCTCTCAGACAAGACATGAAGGACGTGTGATCTGACCACACTGCAGATGGTTTGAATGATCAGCTTTCGAAAAAGAATTTTAGTGAATCCACATACCACATGTTTTTAGCCAGCTGGAGCCCTCATTTTATTATACAAATACATATAGTACACACATGTGTGTTCATGTCTCTAGATGGATCTCGATGTCCCTAACTCTACAGTTTGTGCTAATGTGAGAGTTTACAAGTTTCCTGAACATCTGTCAGGACCACCCAAGAAATTCTTAATCTTAAAAAGAGAAAACTGCAGTCAACCAAAATCAGATCAGATCTGAAATACAAGAACAGACTTTTCCTTTTATGACAGCTGTTCCCAATTCTTGATTTATTGATGTTATTTATTTTACACAGGATGCAGTCATGCATAAGGTACAACTTTTTTGAAAGATGCAAACAACAAAAAAGTAAAGAGTAGGCAATGAATACAACAGATAGATACTGTGGTCATGAAGATAAAGAGATTTCAAGTCTAGTGTGGCCATCTAGAAGAAGAAATAGAAGTACTTGATGGAGGCAGAATTAACGGAAGTGGTTATTGTCTTAGCTCCTCTTTCTATAAAATTTAAAACTCTTGTTATCATAGAGACAAGCTAATAAAATACCCAAAAGGTATTCACTTTATGTCTTACAATGAAATATTTCCTCCTTTTCAAGACCTACTTGGTCAATTTTGGGGAGAAGGATGTGAAAAATTCCCAAAGAATAAATATTGCAAATTAAATGTGCATAAAATAATTTGAAATAATCCAAAAATAGCTTGAAATAATCAGAAGGAGATATTTTCTTTTTCTTTTGCTGCTGGAAGAGAAACCATAAAATGAAAACGTTTACACAGGGTACCCCTCAAAAACAAAGAGACTGATTTTCCATTGTTTTCATCAGTGATATCTTAAACATACATGCATAGTTCACTTCAAATCAAACTGACAGTAATAGGAGTGAGTTTTCAGATGAAATCAATACAAATTTGTATGAATCTTAAGGATAAAAGTCTGAGCTTTTATCTTTAACTTAATATTCACGTATTAATACTTTGTCTCCACCCAGATGTCTGACTGATACACATCTTAAACTCAACATGACCAGAACTGACCTCCTCATCTCCAATCACCATCCACACCATCAACAAACCTGCTCTCCCTATAATCCTTCCTATCTCAGTTGATGTTAATTCTATCCTTTAGCTTAATCAGCCAAAAATCCTGAAGTTGTCCTTGATTTCCCTCTTTCATACCCACACTTGGGGCATGAGCAACTCCTGTTGGCTCTCTCTTCAAAATACAACCGCATACATCCACTTATTACTTCTCCTGGATGATCTCTTAAAGTAGAAATCATTGCTAGATCTGAGTTTTGAAATCTTAATTCAGTTTACACAGTCCTTTGTTAAAATTATTAATGGTTGATAAATATATCCTTTTCATCTAGCTAATTTAGTAATTGTGCATTTATTCATTCAGTAATATATACTGAATGCCTACTATAGGCCAGGCACCATTCTATGTACTTTGGTTATATCAGTGAACAAAATAAAGATCCTTGTTGTAGTGAATCTTATATTTAATTACAGGAGGCAGACAATAAACAGTATATATAATAAGCACATTATGTAGTATCTTAGAAGATGCTAATAACTATGGAGAAAATTTTAAAAAGTAGAGTGATATCAGCAGTTACTGAGAGGTGGGGGAAGGTGTCAGGTTAAGGATTAAATAGAGTGGTGTGGATATGCCTCTTGGAAAAGTGAAATTAAAATAAAAATTTGTTTGATTCCCTTCTGTGTATCTAGAAAGAGAGTTAATGAGGAAGTGCCCATATTGAAGTGGTGTATCCTGCCCTAGCCTCTCAT